AAAAAAAAAAATCAAAAGTCCTTTCCAATCCAGCAGTATTTTAGAAAGGAATTATCTAAACAGGGTCAGGACTCTGTCTATCCATCAGCAGAATTGCTCTCTGAAAACATGACATACTGGGACCAAATCTGAAGTGGTAGGGGGAGGGAGAAACCAGGAAAAAAAAGAAGAGTTTGGGAGCATTATATATACTGCCTTGAAATGCACAAATAAAGATGAGATATAAATCTAATTGTATAATAATAAATAATAACGACAACAATAATGCATCGCTATAGAAAAAGCGATGGGCAATTCCATTCTATCTCTGCTTTCTTCTTGGTCTGTTCTGTGCTTCCTAGTTCATATAAACATACAAACCCACACATATGCAACACGAGTAGATATTTATCTATCTACACACACATGTAAGTGCAATATTTATTTCTTTAATTTATTTATCTATCACATTTATACCTTGCAGCAATCATACACTGTTACTTTAATACACAGAAGAAGATGCTGATGCTTTCTATGGCCTATGATTGTAAAGGGGTTGAAAGAATTCCAGAAGCTATGTTCTGCATGCTTTCCCTTTTTTGTTTGTGAATGTATTACAGAAGTAACAGTAATACTATAAATAGAAATGAATTCTCAATATTTGTATCCACAAAGCATGCTTTGTAACTTTTGTAACGCATCATATTGTATAAAACTGTATCAATACGTAAACATTATACCTGTTATTTTGATTATATATATATATTTTTATATAACCAACCAGCAAAACATACTGATGGTTCATATATGCATATTTAAATAGCTGGTAACATAAAGTCAAGAAAGTCCAGTGTCTTATCTTGATTCCTCAATGACTTCTCCAGTAGCGTTTTTGAGTTTTTAAAATAAAGCACCTTTTTTTCAGAGTGCTCCTAATCTATTTGCTTTTATAAAATATATTCTAATAATCTGTCTTGTGAAAACCACCACAAGCATTCTGAACTTTCATATTACATAAGTGTAATGTTACAATGTGATAATTACAGATTCAGAACTGGAACTCAAAAGAAAAGTTCTGGAACAGTGTCACTACTCGAAGATTATCAAAATAGCACAGGATGGATGGATGGATGGATGGATGGATGGATGGATGGATAGATAGATAGATAGATAGATAGATAGATAGATAGATAGATAGATAGATAGAAAAAATGAAGAAAGTGCCTTATATATTTCTTGCCAGAAGAGGTCTCTCTTGAACTACAACATCGATCTAGATCATTAGAAAGTTAAATTCTTACAAATGATTGAGTATCTTAGTAAGTCCAAAATTACTGTCCACAGGCACCATTAACATATCTGTATCTGTATCTCTAACTGTATATGTATCTGAACCCATATCTATACCTCTTTGTCTCTCTATCCCTTGTAGTATGTGTGTGATATAAGCTGGAGAAGAGCACAGATCTTTCATTTAAGCAAAGATACCATTTTCTCATCTGCTACAGAAATTATTTCAACCTGTCCTAATTTAATATTCCTTTCCTATATTATCCAAAATCTTGACAGGCCTCAATTACAAAAATATGTTTAGTTCCTGCTTTTGATTATATCATCTCTATTGTGATGAGTGTGCATCTGAATCTCAGGGTCAAGATTAGGAAAAGACAAAGAACTGGATGCTGAGAACCAGGTTGAATGGGCTGAAGGCTGCAATTATTCCCAACTACACAACAACTTCTTAGCATATAATGTTTGTTATTAACATTTGAACATTTTCAGATATCAATTATTAACACCCCTCATTGTAACAACCCAGCCATGGAGCAACTGGGGTGCTGTAGCTTAGAGTCCTTGAGATCTAAGTAAGTGCCTGTCCTTGGCTTACCCTCCATGTAGGCATATGGACATAAATGGACTCAATCCATAAAACTGATATCTGAAGGAACTGTGTTAGTGCTTTCTGACAACAGAGATGACCTAGCTGTGCTATAACATGGCTATACAGTAGAACTTCAGCCAGTCTCCTATGCCCGGGCTGCTGTTAGTGAAACTCTTCTTAGCTCAGGAGGCTTTTCCCTCTAGGAGATGAAAGTCAAAGCATTTTTTGCTCCTACTGGTAGATTATAGTCCAATCTGACAGGCCTAGGAGGCAAACAAGCATTTGGAAAGGATGCTATGGCACCTCTTGAGTGGCAGATTCAAATAGACATGGGAGCTTTTATTTTGACCAGAGAAAAAAACAAAAACATAAACTAGAAGAGAAATAACCTTGTTACCCTCAGCCCCTAATGTCAGATGATTTTGGATCTCCATCAGGTATACATGAAGCTTATTATCAATATACATCAAGTGACACATTATTATTTTAGGGCGAGGCACTTAAGAAACCAAGGCAGAAGCTTTAAAAATTACATAGTTCAAAAGTAGTTAGAAGGTTTTCCTTCCCTTCATCTGAACAGTGGGAATTCAAGTCAGCTATAAATAAAGGTTCTTGCAGCACATAGGTGAACAATGGAATTGACATTCATAAAATGCAGCAGCAGCCACAAACTTAAATCTCTTTGGAAGGTAAGAGTCATGGAAGCCAGGGTTATCGTAACTAATGAGAAAGATTATGATGGATCAGGACATCTAGGATCAGCAATACCAAGCCTCTCATTACTAGTGGAGGAGAGAGAGAATGAGTTATTGTCTTCATGTTTCCCATCTGGGCTTCTGCTAGGCATCTGGCTGACCATGAGGGTTGGGGAGGGGGAAAAGATGTAGGATTACATAGCTTTTGATTTCATGCAACTTTGGCGCTCTTCTGATCATTTTATGTGTCAAGAAATCACATACCAGTCTTGTTCAAGTGGACACCCTCCAGATGTACTGGATTGCAACTCCCAGAACTTCCAGCTATCAGGTTCAGGTGTATACGAATTTCTGGAGGTGACAGTCCCATGAGACATTTGGATTATTTTTGGATTGTAACTCACCATGAATTTTCCATAGGTCTGGAACAAGGACAATTTATGTAGTAACTTAGTGTCAGTATATTTGAAAAAAAGCAAAAACAAACAAACAAACTCTTGTAGCAGGAAATCCACATTTGGTTCAGAATTGGCTTTATGGGTAGTCCAGTTCAAAGATAACTGGGGAACATGGCTTCTAGAAACATGAACAACTTGTGCTGGTTCTTGAATTCTATTGAATGCCAGAGGTAAAATCAAACACTGATTTCTAGTTTTCAACAAACCCAAGCTTCCATGTGACATCCAATCTTGGAGAATTACTACTCGTTTAAATTCAGGGTAGTGCATACAAGCCAGGTCTGTTTTCAGATGTAACTATAGATCATTGCAATCTTTCCCACTTTCCTGCAAATTTTCTAGGAAAGCAATGTTAAGGGAAATATACAAGTTAAAAGATTCGGTTGGTCCAGAATGCAGTGGCACAGGCAGTTATGGGTGCATTTCACTTTACCCATATTACACCTTTGCTCTGCAGGCTATACTGGCTTCCTGTTTGCTTCTGGGTACAATTCAAGTTAATATGAAAGTAATAAAGCTCTACATGGCATGGAGCCAGAGTATTTGAGGGACAGCCTTACTCCCATTGTTCCTACCCATCCCATTATGTTGGGCAGAAGGGGCATTCTTCAGTCCCATCTATTAGGGATTGTCATTGAGTGGGACCTAGGAAGCGTGCCTTTTCTGTAGCTGCACCTGCCCTCTGGAATACCATACTGCCTGTGGTCAGCTGGGCCTGATTCTGCTCACCTTTTGGAAGACCTTAAATACCTGGATGGGTTTTTTTTACAGGCATGGGGGCCAGGGGAATAATTGAGCCTATGCTATTGGTATATGGTGTCTTTGGGAGCCATTTTGTGTTGATCAGTTGGGAAAGGTGTTTTCATTTTTTTAAAATATAGATGTATTTCTATTGTATATTAATTCTCATTAGCCACCCAAGGTTGAGTTGGTGAGATGAGCGGCCATATGAATGAATGAATGAACAAACAAACCAACAAATAAATTTGCAGCCATAGCAAGGAGGAATCAACAAGCACTTTAATGGACAGGCCAGATTTTGTCTCAGCTATATTGTGGAAATATGCTGTGTTCAGTGAGACTTAGTCCCATGGAAGTGTTTGTGGGATAACTGTTATATAGCAGAAACTATGTGAGGGGACACAATCTAATACAGTGACATGGTTCTGCTTTGACTTATAGATTGGTACAGGGGATACCTTGTCAGACATAAAGAAACTGAGGTGAGTTTATCCTATCATCATCGTCGTCATCGTTGTTATTACTGAAGTGTTACTGTAGTAACTTTTTTTCCCCTTTTGTACAGAGGTAAATATTAAGGAGAGGAATCATCTATAAAATAATGCTATATGTAGACTCTAAAACAAACCCCACTGATTTAATCCCATGTAGGCATGAAGAGGATTACAGTCTGAATCTGTTTTGAGTGGGCAATATTTAAATGAGCAATTTCTTTTATGTATTTGACTTATTTTTTAGCTTTCCTTCAGAAAGCTTCAGTTTCTCAATATTAACAACACTTAATTTATTAATTAAATTAAATTTAAACCATGATTATATACTTAATATTAATTTAGGAGCTCTTTATGCTTTTTATATAGAATTGTATATACATTGTATATATTCCATTTGACTCTCTTAGCTGTTGTGAAATACCATCTAAATGGATATTTGATCTAATGCTTAATTTCAGAATTACTTTCTGAAGTAGGAAAGAATAAAGAAAGGCAAAAAAACTTCAGCTATATTACTCTTCATAACTTCAACAACCTTTGTAAGATCAATCCTTGAATGTTAGATATCAACTAAATGCTGAAAAGAATGAACCTATTTCAAATCCTAGTAAGGTTCCATTACACTATGGTAAACTTAGTAAAACTTAATATAGTATACCTAGTATAGTAAACTTAGAAAAAGAGATGGTGTTATTTACCATAACTGGCAAAAAAACAAAACAAAAAAACCTCTCTTGTCATATCCTTGATTTTTTCAATGGGAGAAGTCAGAAAATGCATGAGTTGTGGGGGAGGGACTGCTGCAACATTTGACCAGGCATGGTCAAATATCAGTGGCAAAAGAAGATAGATGGTACGGGCAGTGCTTAGTGGGTAGTGCTCTTCTGTAAACCTGGCAAAATGTGGAATATTATAATAATAATACAACTGTATCTTGTAGTTCAGTTATTACAGTATCATAACTTCACCAGAACTGGCTTCTAAACCTCTACTTGCATAGCTTTTGCCATTCAACTGCTCAAGGAAGATATATTTTGGGAGATATAACAGCTGCGGTTTTTTTTCCCCCAACTCCAACAGGGAATATTTCCAAAATCTTTTATCCACATCAAAGAAATTGCTGCTGAGAAGAAAAGGTATTACAGACACATATATTTGCTAGATATCTTAACTTATTTTGGGAAAATAAGAACATAGTATATTAGAAATACATCTCAAGAAGGAAGAACATGTTGCAACCAAACTAAACCAAATGCCCCTTCTTGTTCCATTCTGGTTATAATCAATTTGATATACAATTTGGAATCAGATCATGACAATGATGGACAGTAATACTTTAGGGAATTTGTTCTTATAAAAAGGGGTGATAAAGTAACACTTTCTTTTAAAGCTACTAGATTGGTATATAAATATGTGATGTCTTTCAGTTGTTGTAAAGCAAGGTAGCAAAACTGAAACAAGATTAGAGTCTGTCTATTTTTCAAACTGTATGTTCAGATTAAAGCTATCAGGGAAGGTTGTTGTCTCTGAAAGACCACAGAGGCATCTGAAGAGTAGTTGGGGTAGTGCTGTATTACATGAACCTTCTATCTGACCCAAATACAGAGTTCTTATATGAATTCTACCTTTAGATGTAAATAAAATCTCACGCCTTACTTGTGCTAAAAACCCCACATACATTTAAAAATGAACCTCAGTGAAACAGATTTTTATCATGAAATAGAAGATGTACCTGTGGTTAGCAAGCCACATACCATGTAGCTAACTTCACTCAATATGTAAAGTGAAAACAAGTAATGTTATTGCCTAGCATGATGGCTTGGTTCATACAACTTGCTAAGTCATAAGTGAATGGAACCTGTATTTGCAGACCAGTAATTGATAGGCATACACTTGGGAGCATCTATTCTGACCCTATTTGGAAGTCCAAAAAGCATGAGAAGGTATATGAAAATCATGTGGTTAGGTAAACAGTAGTCTAGAATTGCAGTATTTCCATTTAAGCAAGGCCTGTAACACAGTTCACCAGGCTATCTCTCCAAATTCTATCTCTTTTCTGATTACCTGAAGGTAATTTCATTTCTTCATCTCCTTTAGTTCCCGCTCAGCAATGCACTTACAAGCAAATATCCATGGGAAGTATGGGATTTCTAATGTAGAATGGTCTAGTAACCAGAGGAGCCTCTCTGTGGGTCAGTTCAGCATTGTCTAGCTCAAAGTACCTGTCCATGAGGTGTTAGCTATGGATCCAGGATGCATAGCTGACAGTTCCACTTCTGGCTCTCAGTCCAGATGGTTGATTGAATGTAGAATGTTATATACAGTATAATACAGTATTTATCCTTTGGTTCAGAAATGCAGAAAATGTAATACCTGCTGAGATTCCATTGGTACAGGAGGTTACCAGCACACTATGGGAATGGGGTAACATCTGGAAACAACTGTATGTGGTGAGTAATTCTTCCTTTCTTGCAGAAAATTTTATGACTGGCTAGGATGAAGCTTTAGCTGTATTAAGTGCCACATCAGTAGGCTTAGTTATCCACTAGGCCAATGTATTTTGCATTTAATTTTATGAATATATAACTGCTCTGAAAGTGCTAGTAAAGAAGAAATCCCTTCATTGCAGAATTTAGCTTCAATTATTAAAAGGCTGTTGTGTAGCTCCACTTTTGAGTGTTATGTGATTTCAACCTTTGAATGAACTTTAATGCGCCATGCACAAATGCACTGCTAGGAAAAAGTGAAAGCACTGGTGATTTAGAACCTATGACTTTTGCTTATGCAGAAAAACTGCTCTTATATTATTTCTAAACAGTTGGCCTGCTTTTTAATGCATTGCATAACTTGTCCAATTTAATGAATTTTGTGCACCAAAGGATCACACAAGTATAAAGTTTATTTTAAATAAAGGAGGCATCATTTTAAAAAAAAGAAGACAAATTCTAGTATGTTTGCTATTTAGCTTCCATTCTCAATATATTGATAAGAATAGTGAGATTCAATTAATGTTTGGCCACAGTAAACTGCAGTTAAGCCACAAAGCAAAAACCTAGAATATATCTCTTGAACTCATCCTGAAAGATCAGGTTGGGTCCAAAACATTTTGGCAAACCCTTCTGTTTCCTGAATACAAGCAACTGGATTGGCAATTGATTATACTTCAACAAAAAGTTCCTGAAGCAGTAGATTAATTTAAAAAGCATAGGACCAGCTTTTTAGCACACTCAGCTGTCCTCCAAGGGAGCAGAAGGGCCAGGTAGATCAGAAGGAATGAACGATTGGAAAGCTGTCACGACTTTGAATGGTTGTTTCATTTTCTCCAAGGTAGTGCTGGAGGCACGCAAACAATTTTTAGTCAGGAAAAAGTGTCATTATTGTGAAAGGAAAGTTATTCTAGAGTTCCTAGAGAGTTTGATTCCCAGGTCATGTTAAGAAACTATAATCCTTTCACTAGAGTACTGAAGTTTGATTTATGCCAGCTTTTTCTATTATGCAATCATGCTTGTCATCTTACTTCTGTTTTGCATTGGTCCACCTTACCTGCAGTCACAATAAAGCACTGAACATTTTGAATATATACTGAAGTTTATGTTTTTATATCTATTGTATTTTGACCCCCAGGGTTGTTGCAGATTTGGGAAACAGGATTACTTTCACTTACAGAAAATATACTTATTCTGCTGCCATACAGTGGCTGCTTAACCTCAGTGACAAAGGGCATTTGAAATTCTAAATAGCTGAAGTTCAACCTGTTTTCTTTTTCAGGCAAACAAAAAGGAACACTTCCGGCAGGTACAAGCAATGATGTGCGAGTTAATGGAGTGGAGGTCACAGCTCCTCTCAGGGACATTGCCCAAAGATGAGCTCAAAGAACTAAAACAAAAGGTCACTTCCAAAATTGATTATGGCAACAAGTAAGTTCTCATGAGTTGACATGTTACTACCAATCTGTTCCAGACTAGGAATTACCTTGGGCATATTCTAAGCTGAGATTCCTTAGTTTTGCTTACATTAACATTGCTTTTAAGAACACTGTAATAAAATATATGTTACTATTTTCCAGCCAGGAATATTAGTAGAATACTAACAAGACATTCTAAATGTCCTATTATCATAACTGCCACTTACATTTGTTATGCACCTAACACAAAGTCTCCGTCAGGTCAAGCTTACTCTTGGTGACCTTATGAACATGTTCATGTAGTTTTCTTCACAAAAGTACAAAAGTAATTTGTCACTGCCTTCTGGGATGTTGTTTTTTTTTCAATTTTCCAGTCTAGTCTAGTTTTGGGATCTTCTGGTGACCTCCCAATCATGTACTAATCAACTCTACCTAGCTTGCAGATATATGGTGCTGCTGCTATATATTGTGCACCTAAGAAACCACTATTTTCTTCTGCCCTTCTAAGACAAGCTGCTTAAAAAAGAGTTATGAAAGTGCTCAGTGGAAAAACTGATTTTATGATTATATGTTGCTTATATCTTGGGTCTCCTCCTCCTCCTCCTCCTCCTCCTCCTCCTCCTCCTCCTCTTTTTTCCTTCTTATTTTGGCTTTGTAGAGTACTTATTTTTATTTTTCTGCCTTGGATCTTGATTTTCTTTTCTTTTTCTTTTTATTATTCTATGCCACCCTGGATCACAGATTGTGAGTGGGATACAATATTTATATAGTAAAAATGTTACACCTGATATACTGCATTTCAAAACAACCATGGAGAAGAAGATAATGTGGATGATAAATATTTCATATCAAAACTTGCCTATACAAGCAGCAAAATGAAGTGCTTGGGTTTGGACACGCTAGAATAAGATGGACTATTACACAGAATGGGGATCTCAGATATTTAACTGGCACCTCATCTAAGGAAAAAAAAAAACCAAGCAGAATGCACATGAGTGTCCTTCATTTATTAGGCAAACTTGGAATAATTTTCAAAAAGTATTTTAAGGCATCTTGAAAGTGGCTTTTGCAAGATGCAGTTGTTTTGCATCTATCACTTCAGATTTCTGCATGTCTAAGTATCTGTGGACTAAAAGATGAACAATGTTTGAAGCAGTAAGTGGTATAAAAAGTAGGAAGGATGTGAGGTGCACAGAGAACAGGCAGATTCTTAAGGGATCTTGGAGAATAAAAGCACTATCCTAATTCACCAGATGGAAGCAGTTAATACAAATATAGAAAGGCAAAGAAACTTGATCAAAAAGCTCACACCTCCTTCAGCCCCTAGGAACTCCTGACAACACTTAAACGGCTCAGGAGCAAGGAGGACTCCATGCAGTTATGCACTGTATCTTTCTAGGCTTGGTCTTCCCAGCAGTTCTTCTAATCCTTTGTACCTTACAGAGCATGCTGTCCTGTTGTCATTCCACATGTTCATGTGCAAAGTAAAGAGTATAAACAAAGATGAGGCAAATAGAAGGGAAGAAAATGTCATCCGGACCCTCATTATGCTGGCCCTTTACCAGGTCAGAGTGATGCCAGTCAGAAACTAATATCTAAGTAAAAAATAGCCATTTGAAAATGGGGAGAATTTGAAGGGAAGCAGGCTAGATTATAAAAGGAAGAAAAAGGAAATAAAACAGCCAGCCAACAAATGTTTCCTGGAACAACTACCTCCTTGAAAAATGATTTTTCTACCACCTCTCTCAGGCTTAAATATTTTTTTCTGTAGACCAGAGCAATTACCATAGATTATATTCATTCCTTCATTTCAGTCTGAATGTGTAAGTAGACTACAGGCTTTGCATTCAGAAAGCCCAAATTAAATCCTGGCACATTCAAGAAGGAAAGAAAAAATCCTGCCTGAAATCATGGGAAATTGCTGCCAGTGGCAGGCAAAATGGATGATGGCTTCATTCAATGTGACATCTTCTGAGGTCTTACATGATGTGAAAGAGAGAGAAAAGTGCTGTAACAGTCATCTGAAGCTTCTGTATTACCATTTCCAAGCATACTTGGAACTTCAGTCTTCATTTCAGATGGTCTGCCTTAAGTTTGAAAACTGGGCACCAAAAGAAAGGGAACTTCAGCTGACTTCAGTCAGAATAGTGCAAATTACTGTTCCTGCATTTGGTTATGTAATTACTTGCCTCTGAAAAGCCTGGGCAGCCACAAGACTAGAGGGGAATGGGGGGGGAAAAGTGTAATTGTTTTGATCTCTGGCACTGTTCCAACAAAAACCCATCACTTGACTGTTTTGTCTTGTTTTGTTTTGTTTTAATTTCCAGGGAAACGCCTATAGGTACAAGTTGTAGCTTCTCTTCCGATGCAAATAGTAGCTTCATAGAAGTAGGAAGGGAAAGGTTTACCAATCCAGTTTTGGAGTTTCCATGACACATTTCACCATAAGTAACAATGTTGGCTGGGTTCACCCATAACAAAATGGGGTTGGCTAGTTTGTGACTCAGTATATTGTGTACACTCAGCCAAAGGGCTAGAAGTTCTTCTTTTCATCCCTGCAGGCTATAATTACTCTGGCTTCCCAGAGATTGTTGCTTTCATTGCAAAATCATGCATGTTAATTGCACTCAGGGACATACCATTCACCATGTTGATTTTGTTTTCAAAGGAGATTGCACCCTCATGAGCATTATATGGTCTGTTAACCCAAAACTTTTGTTATGTACCTGAAGTGCTGTTTCATTTTGTGTGAAGGTATTAATTTTTAAATCACATCTCAGAGAGAAACAAACATCAACAAGGCCTTTCAAGAGTGGAAGTGCCAAACAACTTGAAATGAAACCTAAGATATTTGTAGTGTGATGTCCATTTGAATCTCAAAGATGGCCTTTAATGTTGTAGATGACAGTTTCCATTTATATCTACAGGATTCTTGAGCTGGACCTGATTGTTAGAGATGAAGATGGCAATATTTTGGATCCAGACAAAACCAGTGTCATCAGCCTCTTCCATGCGCATACCGAAGCTACAAAAAAAATCACAGAAAGAATTAAAGAAGAAATGGTATGGGGTTTGCATCTCATCGTTCTACTTTCAAACAGAGGTCTCCTTGTTTATACCTACTGAGGAAAAATCTGTATAAATATCAGGAACAGCTTAGTAATTGTTTCTGTCTTTAGCCAGTAAAAACTCTCCTTCTTCATTGTGTATATTGAAAATATTTCCTTACATCAAGTATTCATTCTGGATTCCCAGCTTTTTAAAAAATTTTGAATGCAGTCAATCAATCAGTGACATGACCTAGCCTTCCAATTGGTGCATGTATTAGTGCAGACCAAAGGGCCTGTAGCAAGCTTATCTGGTCTTTTTAAACAATGTGCAATGGCCAATCTTTGTTAAAAAAAAAAATATGGGGAAATAAAATTTAGGAGGCAGGACAAGCCCTTCCTCATTATCCATTATCTGTAGGCTTGAACTCAAACCATATTTGTATGAGGAAAAGTGAGCAGTTTTCTAAAAGCTAGTAACTTATGTTTCCACCAAGCACATTCTGTGTTAGCCAAGTAGTTGTTCTTCAAGTCTGTAGGTTATCTAGATGTTCAGTAAGTCTCTTTCTACTGAACCAACAGTCAAAGGTTATCATGATGGTAATAGCAATTGTACATTGTGAGCAATGGCAGACCTTCTCCAGAGAACCAGGTCTGCTGGGATGCGGCATGCTTAGGCATAGGATTTCCTGTACAGGCCTTTTTTTTTGTGAGATCTAATTTCTGGCTGGTAGAAAACACTTCCTTTGTGAAGTGTTAACTTTCCCTTAAAATTAATGCTTAATTTGCTTGAGCTTATTATAACAAACAAAACTATGCTAAATATCATTTAAAAATCAGTAGCATATTAACAGCTACAATGACAGCATGTCATAATTATTGCATGACTAATATCTACCGTACAAAGTATGGAAAGAGAAGAGCAGTTTATACCAGAGGTTCCTAAACTTTTTGCCATCACACCTCCTTTTAGTATAAACGTTATGTACACATTTCCCCTAAAAATCTAAATACCAAAATGAACAATGGAAACAATACAATGAAACTTTATTTTTTAATAAAGGCATAAAAAATAAAAAAGTAAAGTTTGTGCCTCCTCCATCACCCTGTTATTCACTTGAAACTAATATTTGGGAAAGATGGATTTATTGTAACAATGAACAACTAAAAGGTTCTTCACGCCTGGACTCTGTCTGCACTTCCCCAAGTGAGGTACACCTTATAGCTTGGGAAAGCTTGCTTTATATATATATAGAAAGATGTCTGACTTGAGAAGTATAGAGGACTTCGTAGATATTCTCAACAGCAGTTTATTTAATCTTGTATCTCAGGCATTTAAACTGACTGAATATTATGGGAATTATGTTTCAACACATCTGGGCAGGAAAGGTTGGGAAAAGTGTGATAAATGTTATGGTTCAGATGGTTCCTGTCCACAAACAAGTGACATAGCATTCACATGAAATAAAATTTAAAAAAAAGAAAAGAAAAGCATACCTGTTTTATCAAGTGTTTCTGCTGTTTTTCTAATAACATCTGTTTCTCTTACCTATTGTTGGCGCACAGTCAAACGATGAGCCTGTTTATGGAACCTTCTGCCGAAATACTTCATCCCCCACTCACAGCCTTTATGTCTTTGTAAGGAATTTTGTCTGTAAAATAGGAGAAGATGCTGAACTTTTCATGTCCCTCTATGATCCCCATAAGCATATGGTGATAAGGTATGCCGATTTTCTTTCACTGATATAAAGTGGTCATCTTCCTGACAAATTAAAGTGTGTGCGTGTGTTTCATAAATGTGGGCTTATGATAATCCCTTGGAGTTTGGGTGAATTTCGGTATAATTAACCATATACAGTTTGTGAACAGATATATCTACATTAGTGAATTCTTTGGCAAGAGATCAGAAAGACTTATAGGTAGCCCAGGTTTGTATCAAAGCCTAAGCCATTTTAATAGGTTAATGGAGCTGCTTGTATCATAACATAATTCTTTAACCATTGTCTCAGGCTTTCACCATTGCCCTAGGTTTAGGTGAGGCATTGTCTGAATGTGCAGGAACTGAAATTTGAAACTAAGATCAGTTGTTGGTGGGATTTTAAAAGATGCATTTCATATAATTTAATGTTGCTTGCCAATACCTTATACAGTGGCATTTCAGTATGATAATCTGAGTTTATATAACATAATGCTTATTTTTCCATAGTGAAAATTACTTGGTGAGATGGGGGAGCAAAGGTTTTGTCAAAGAAATTGACAATTTCAACAATCTGAAAGTGGTTTTCACTGTGAGTAGATTTTTTTTTTAAATAAAACACTGTCCTTCCATCCCCACAACCCATACTCAATATGTTTTCTGGAAAGCTTATTGGATGAAATATTTCACATCTATTAAATTTCTTGAACATTCTCTCTTTTGCTAAAGTTCCTCTGTTTTCAAGAAATAAATGCTTAGCTTAATTCTGCTAGGTGACCTCACTTCATTCATCCTCTCTATGGCTAGCTTTGCACATAATGCAGAGCCATTATGTGTTGTTGACTTATTGTGTGAACTCAGCTATTATGGCTTGTCTAACTAACCATGGTTATACAAACAATGGGACTGCATGATATGTGAACAGGGCTATGTAACTTATTCTTGCATAGGATTTTTTTTTTTTTTTAGCTTATTGAGTAGCATTGTGAAATAAACTTGGTTCCTCTTTTTGAAAAATTACTGAGTGAATCATAAAACTAACGTTTTCAAATAAATGATATGGAGGGGAAACATTTGCATGCAACTAAGACCTTAACGGAAAGGCTAAATCTTGCATTAAACTATAGAAAATTTATTTTGCTGTTTCATTTCTTTCAAGATTAAGAATGCGAAGGCTCATTTTGCTTCTGGTTAGACTGAGGTAATTCTGAAACACTGAGGATAGATGGTTCTTGTCATCTTGAGATAATTGATCCATATGGTTATAGCTTGTTCATCTAGTTATATCTGGCAGACGTTTGTATTGTAGTACAGAGAAAAAAAATGATCATATTGTAGACAGATGTTATGCTAAATACAAGAGATGACTAAATCACTGAAACATACAAATGATATCCTAATTACCTGAGGACTTCTGGGGAGAAATGGCAAACTGAAGATGGCTCCACTAAAAGCAGAGTCAACAACTGTGGCGGAATGAAGACCCAGTGAGTGGACCAGCTCTTTGGGATTGCTCTCCAGACAAGGAGAGGACTTGAGATTGCCCACAAGTGCTCCATACAGTTGCTCCTCATAAGACACCACAACACAGTGGTCTTCAGCAGGTTTAGATCTCTGGGAAATGAGGGAATAGCCATCTTGCTTAAACCACTGTTGGTGCCTTTAAAAGAATACTGGGTTCACATACTTCCTTTTCTAATCACTTTCAGAAATTTCTTGTTAACTGCTTTTCAGCTATTAAGAACCTTTGGATCAACAAGTTTTATAGCACCAGCTCAGTTTCTTTCAAACTTTAGCAAAAGAAGTTTTAAATACAAATTTAAGGACTTAAAACAAATTTTCTTTTGGAATAAACAGAAAAAGGGTGATTAGGACTTTGATTTTAGAAAATTACAAACAGACTAAGGGTCCAGAAAAATTTGAAATAAGATTATGGAATTAATTTTTAAAAATCCTTCCCATGGGAAAATGCTTTTGTTTTGATTAAAAAAAAAAGATAGGATTTTAAACATTGGACACTAGAGGGAACTAGCAGGAACTAAAGATTACAATTAAAGGAGAAGAATACTTAAATTTGACTTACTAATACAGAATGAAGAGACTAAGGGTCCAGAAAAATTTTTGATTAAAAAAAAAAGATAGGATTTTAAACATTGGACACTAGAGGGAACTAGCAGGAACTAAAGATTACAATTAAAGGAGAAGAATACTTAAATTTGACTTACTAATACAGAATGAAGTGAGATATTTTAAAATTGGACATACTGAAGGATATATTTGGGCAATGGACCTAGAAGTTAATTTTAAGAGGGTCTGCCTCTATAGGTAGACTGTGTTTAAAAGATGTTATGGAAGAGGAACACATTTTTCTGGACAAGACTGAGACTGAACTGAAAGTGGATTTACAAATGACAGACTACAAGAATGATATGGACAAAGATGCTACACTGGGCATACAAAAGAAACTGGCTGATGTCTTATAAATTAAAAGGGATATACAAATAACAAACCAAAAGAGCAACTTGGATAACTTTCCTATATTGGATTTGCAAAAGAGACTTGTTAAAGCTTTGAAGAATTTGTGAAAAGGGACATAGAAAAAATGAAAAGAAATCAAGTTCTAGGATATTATTTGAAGGGACTTAAGATCAAGATAGTTAAAAGTAAAAAGAAGAATATAAAGTTGGTTGATCAAAGTTAAAATAAATATGTTGTTATCTCTGGTAACCCTTAATGGAATTTTGCTGATTAGGACTGAGGAACGAGGCTTTAAGGATTTCTTTATAGATAAGAGATAGGATATGGGAAGAAGAGATCATCTGTTGTATTTTAAGAGAAGGTGATAAGTTACTAAAATTGTTTATACTTGTAATGAAAGGGAAGTAATTTCTTTATATATTTTTCTTTTTCTTTACTACATTCTTATTTTTTCTTTTGTTTCTATTTGTTTCTTTTTTTCTTTTCTGCACTTTCTATTTTCTTTTTTTATTCTTTTATTTTTGT